TTAATGAGTAGCAATTAAAATAAACTGCTGATGTTTGCAGCCATGATAAAAAGAAAGTACATCTTCATTCTTATTCTAATTTTTTATGAATCTGAGCATATAAAAATCTCCCAGTTCTTAGGTCTTAAAACTATTTAAATACAGCCGAAGATGAACAACGGCTCACAGCTTATTACACGGTTTCATTATTTGTTTAACGTAACTCTAGCAGTAATGCAGAAGCAGTGCGTGAAAAAAGTACACCCTTACTGCTCCCACAGGAATTCAGAGGCTAAGCAGCAGCCAGCTGCTGATAATCAAATGCACTTGATTAAAGTCATCATCAGGAAGCGTGAGCACCTCTCTGAAAGCAGGCGTTCTGGTGGTTTGCTGGTCTGCAGCATTCAGATGTGTGCTAACACGATGTCGAGGAGGAAAGATATCAGCAACAATCTTAGAGCAGCAACTGTTGATATCAAATGGGAAGGGTTATGAGGATATTTCCAAACAATCTGAAGTCCATCATTCCACATCATTTTCTGAAATGGAAAACATTGAAGGCAGCTGACAATCTTTCCATGAGTGGACATCACAGCAAATTCACCACAAAATCAGAGCAACATCTCAGACTCCTCAGTTAGCATGTTAAACATTAAAGTTCATGACAGCACAATCAGAAAAAGACTGAACAGGTGTGCCTTGTTTGGAAGCATTGCCAGGAAAAAGCCTCCTCCCTCTAAAAAGCACACAACAGCACAGCTTAGGAGTGCTTCTGAAAAAATAAATTTTTCAAGACTTCTAGAACAAAGTCCTTTGGACAGATCAGACCAAAGCAGAGACGTTTGGCCATAACGTAGAAAACCAGACACAGTACATCAGCACGAATACTGCTTCATACCAACTGTCAGCATAGTGGAGGATAGGTGATGATTAGGGCTTGTTTTGCAGCCCAGGACCAGCACGGTGCAGTCATTGAGCAAACCATGAACTCCTCTATGTCAGTGTTTTCCAACCACTGTACTGTGGCATATAGGTGTGCTGTGGAAGATTATCTGGTTTCACCTGATTGGTACTCTAAGGCCAGTGTTGGGAAGGTTACTTTTAAAATGTATTCCATTACAGA